TTCGCTGTGCCTCATGGCTTCCATTGATCCGTTTATATATATATATATATATATATATATATATATATATATATATATATATATACATAAACGGATCAATGGAAGCCATGAGGCACAGCGAACGTAACAAAGATGTGCGTACAAATAACATTGTTTCTCTAAGGGAATGTCATTAGTATGTTTTTCAATATACAACATTAGCATTGCGTCCTAAATTTTCCATGATTTGTGTTTGATTTTAGCCTCATCTTTCAGCATGAAAATACAGGGGAGAAATATGTAATGACAAACGCCTAAAATTAATNATTGATTACAGGTGCTCCGATCGATCAGCTGAATGAAGAGTTACGAACAGTGATCAAAAAAATTTGGAAGCGGACCAGTCCGAAACTTCTGGACCAAGTTGTACCCCCAGCAGGTGGTGAGTTATTTGCTGCTGTCATTTATTGTCCCACGGGGCATTTCTAATCGAATGCGTAGCATATAAACCTTATGCCAGTAGTGTTTACCGGTCCCATTTGATATCTAGTGTACTTTAAACCAATCTAATCCACGTTTTGAATGCTTGGGTGGGTCGAAAGACAACAGGGTGGATTAGCAAAACCAACGCTTTGATCTTATGAAGCTCTTGTTCGGCACTTTTCCTTCGATCGGTAATGACGTTTAGCGCCAAGTGATAGATGCGCGGTATGTTGTCAGAAAGCAATCAAATACCTGGAAAACAGAATATGAATTTAGGATGGTCCATTAGTGAACTGAATCCAGTTTTTTTAAAGTTGACTTTCCGGTGAACAAAGCACTAAACAGCCGATTGGATCTAGCACAGGAATGAATGCAAGCGGCACTACATATTGTCAGTTGTTCAATTATTCTCCATTAGAACACACGCGTGAAATTTTCTGCTTTCCTTCCGTCATGCGCGCCTTTTTTGTTTATACTCATTCACTGTGAGCAATAATGAAGTTTGTGTGATGAAAAATCCATGCTTTGCTCTGAATGTGCAAAGCTCACCACAAGTATCATCGCTTCAGATACGAAATACGAGCTGCAAACATACTTTTTTATTTTACGTCGAAGATCGAGATGCATATTGCTAATTGGGTGCTTCGGATATTGTGAATTTTGTCCGTCTCTCATGATCGTTTCATTTTTGCCGGATGTTATATCGCATAGAATAATTACAACTTATTTTTCCATTAGTCGTACCCTCGATCTTAGTGTTGCTCTTTAGACAGAGGTTTCACTTATTCATAGTTCTACGAGTAAACATGTTAGTATATTGTCAGTGATTGCCTGTGAAAATGATATATTACGATAAGAAAATCAAGGTGTTTTATTAATGTTCAATGCGTTTTCCTGTGACCAACAACTGTTGCATACCATGATGAGGTATGATTCCAGTGAACTTGATCTCGACTAGAGGCTGTAGTTCATTCGTTCGATTTGTGGCATTTTACACACAGTTAAAAGTTTTTGTCGTGAAATCATGGTAACATTTTGTATACATTCTACTACCATTATATTGACAGTCGGATCTGTGGTATCTATTCATAGTGATAGCTGCGAAAACTTTAAATGAATCAAAGACATGACTAAAGAAAGATTTTCGTAGATGTGGTCGAGCATTTGTTGGGGCGCCTACATAGTGATGCTTTCGTTCGCTTCACGGAAAACCATCTAATGTTTCTCCCCACGACTAATTTCGGTCTAATTTATAAACATCTACCTTAGGATGATGTCTCTATGTTTGTTTGTAGAAAAATACATCGAGTTTCGGAAAGTGCACTGATCTTCAGGACTGCATGTTTCTCAACAACAGGAATGCTTAGCACTAAGTGAAAAAAATTAAAAAACCTGTTCAGTAATATTTTGCGACCGAGCACACTACGACCTAGTCACTAATTGGCTTTGCGGTACCATACCATGTGTAGCCTCACGACCCTAATCTTCCTCCATGTCGGATGGNGTTCTTTATCATAATTGCATTGAGTCCATGATTGTTAGAAACTTTGCTTTGCTACTTTAGGGAACTGTCCCACTGGTTGTTTGGTGCTCACATCGCCATGCAAAATGCACAAGCGTTCGCGAAGAACACGTGTCACAAAACCAATCTCGGAATTGAATTCTTCTCTCGAAATCTAATAACAATTCTAACCACCAGGACATCATCAGAGCTTTCTGAACCTTCGGTGAACTCAATAATTCATAAGTTCTATGAAAGTTTCTCAAGAAAACTAGATTATGCTCAAGTGACGCATTCCTTTTTTTGTTTGTTAGCGGTGTTCGACCGTATACTACGATAATTTGAGGGAATTAAAAGATGCTCGTTTGAAAAGTTCTTTGATTTAAAAGCAGAGGCTGTTGGAGTTCTACAGTATTGTATTTTTTTTTCTAAATTTAATAAATCTTCCCGTTACATAACAGATTTCACAGCGTGTTTTCACAATATTTGACCACATTGATTGCATTGAACGATGGAGCCGAAATGGAAACCACCAGAATCGTCATCGTCATGAAAATAACCACCGAGTGATTTTATCGATACTTCAAATGAGCTCAATCAGGATATGATAAACCTGATTCAGAGAGATTGGTCCATGGATGGTTTAGGATTTCAAGCTTTTGTTACTGGTCTACGTCATCTCCTGCTACTGCAACACAAATTGGTCCCTGGGACAGCTTCCCTGGCCTCTTCTTGATTGCTGCACTTATCTTATAGGGATTCTGTTGCACCTTTCAGCTTCAATTCTCAGAGCTTATGTCGCTATTGGTCACCATAACCCAGTAGTAATTCTTGAATACTTAAATGGTTCACCACTTCTACTGGGCAAAGCAATATTACGTCTAATTAACAATAGAATTATCGTCAATTTCTGGTATATTTGGACGTATATTTAATTTTTCGTGCAATCTAACGGATGGATCGCACGCTATCTGACAACATTCATCGCATAAAGACGACCAACTTCGTTTCAATTCTTGGCAACTAAAGCATCAAGTGAGTGTATCTTCAAAGGATTGGAACCGGGAACACATAAGCCACACACTAAAACTCGATATTTATATGAATAGTCGGGTGACTTTCGACGTTTGTGCACAGGTTTCCGTTTTATATCTGACATTTTCATCCATGATCTGGAACACAAAGCTGGTGTGAAAAAATTCTGAAACACTCATACACTGTAAACTTTTGCACAAAGCACGGTGTTCTGGTTATAAAATGTTTACTACTTTTGTGATAAAAACAAAAGAACTACTGTCGTTTTATCACATGTATGTTTGACTGTCACTGTGGGCTTCTTTGTGAACTGGTATCGCTAAGTTTTTTTCTTGAATGTTGGGCTGATCGCTTTAGCTGTTTGTTCATCTTCCACTGTCAACACCACCACCAACCCCATCACTCCCCTGGACGACACCAACTTTTCCTTAACTCTAACTCATGTGGCCTTTTTCTATCTTAATCTCGTCTGATTTCATTTGTCCAATTCATCTTGCAGTGTGTCCGGCTTTGAATGTTGAATCTGTGTCACTCGAACCAGCCCTGGCCCGGCAATCTACATATGTATATGTATAGATATGTACACACACGCATACATATATATATATGCTTACATACATACAAACATACATATGTATCCATATATCGCTTGTAGTGTGTGGTATTTTCGAGTGTTGTGCTTCACTCAAACAATTACTCCAGTCTTGTCCTCTTCCCTCTTGGTTTCGGTTAGTGCATGTGAACTAGATTTTACTCCTTTAACCCCAACGCTGTTAGTCTCATGAGTTCGGATGCTTGATTTCGTAGATTTTTTTAATTTTTTTTTTCATAAATTTATTTAATGCATGAAGTTTCCTCTAAAATTCTGTCTAAGTTGACTGGCATATAATGAAAGCATGTTAGATTGTCTTGCAATGTACGCTTGCCCGTTCTTCCCTCTACGGATGTGTGTGTGTGTGATGAGTTACCCTAGCGCACTTGTACCTGGATACGGAAACCATGTATGCATACATGCGTGTAGCAAGATCAGAAGCTGCAACTATTTCCGGTATTCTCGCATCATTTTTTTCTAGTCCGGTGCTTGTCCAGTCATTTTTGTCAATAATCCACATTCCGGTTTGTTGGTTTTTTTCAACCTTGTGTAATTTAATCACAGATGTCTCACAGCGCCTATGTGCTTCAGGAAGCTAGACCGCCCAGAATGTTAGTCATGCGAGCCAGTAACCAAAGTTTCGATATTAGGGAGGTACTTGGCCGACTAGTGGGAACGTGAAAGCCAATTTATTCCATCTGCTCAAGTTTCAATTTAATGAGGTGATAAAAAACACAAATTTGAAAAATCACCGGTAACTGTCTTATTAATTAATCATTATTTATTTGTTGAGGAAACGTCTAAACCGAAAACTTCTCAGAATTTTATTTAATATCTTTCCGATATCAGATACCTTTACTACTTTACGCTTTTGTCTGACCTCAAGGTTCTATCTATTCAGGTACACTTTTTAGTTCTAAATTGATCCCTAGATCAATCAAAACTAGATGGGTGCCAAACCCGAAACATGATTACTAGATTTCGGCAACGGTCCTTTACCAAGGAAATTATAATTAGCAGTAAAACCTTCAAAGAACATTCGTCTTCTGTATCAATTCTATTTTCTCAATTCCACCTGAATTGCACACAATTTTTGATATACAAAACTTTTGATTTATCAAAGAAAGCCAAAAACTATCTTGCTGTTGGATGACTTCTTTTGCTTTGACTGCTCTGGACCGTCTTCTGATGATCCACATAGGAAATAGATCACCTGTGATTTTGAGCGCTGCGGTCCATTAGTGAACAATAGAAACAGCCGAAGTCCTAATGGACTGCTTGCATTCCTGCACGTCTACTTGAAACTTTATCGCGTATAAGGAAAATAACAAATACCGGTACGACCACCTGCCCGGTGGTCAAATGGCATGCTTGATCTCTACCTATCAGTTCCCCCGGTTTGGTCCTCAGTGGGATCGATGGATGTGCATCGTAGAAGAAATGCAATCGAATCGAAACAGCTGTCCAGTCCTTCCTTGCTTTTCAGTTCACGCTTCATTTACTTTGTAGATGACAGAAGTCACTAATACGAACCTCTATTAGATTTTAAAATAACTGTCAGTTTTGTGCAATTCCATGTTGGTAAGCCTCTCTGATGAACCGAGTTTACTTCAAACAGAGGAACATATATGCTCACTTTCATCCCTAACTTCTCATTAGTATAAGTGTTGTCACAGTTTTTGCACACAATGTCCAGGTATCATCAGTTTGCATGCAATGATACGCTAATAATCAGTTATCACACCCAAAGTTTTCATTTTCCAGATAATTCATTGAAACAGAAATGAACTATATTCACTCATCTACATAGGCGTTAGTACGCAAAGTTGTAAAAACGTCCCATTCTATTATATTTCAGTAGTGTATCGTGTCTATTGCATGAATAACCTCAGTTCCGTGGAACTGAATCGACCAGCATATCATACGTCTATTCTGTCAGAAAAAAGCGCGTCCAACAGTCGATTACCGTGTGTGCGTGTATGTGTCTGAGTGTGGGTATGAGATGCCATGTTGTCATATCTCGTCCATTGGTTTATAGGGAATGATGATGTTACCGTGGGGAAGTTCTATGCAACATTTCTCATCCAAGAATGGTTTCGTCGATGGAAACAGAAGAAAGCCGAAGAACAGAAGGCTTTACTCCATGGGCAAGTAAGTCAGAATTTGCCTAATTGTCCAACATTGAGCAGTTTCAATCAGTATCAATGTGTTTCATCCTTTTCCAAATGGTCATGTAATTCTCGTCATTTGGAGTTGGAGCCGTGGAATGAAGCAGCGAATTTTCGCCTCATTTACATTTGCTGGATCCATTCAGACCGGTCGCCCTAGTGCTAAATACAAGCTTACCGTTTTCAGTTATGATCTGTCTTGATCCTTCATTTATGTTCCACCGAAGTGGAAGAATAGATGATAAGGAGGAGGAGGATCTGTTGGTCGGATCGGTAAAAGTGCGATGCTTAAGGTTTTCTATCGTCATTATCACCCTAATGAAATAATTGCCAAACTTTACCTTCGCTAGACTCAATAATTCGCCCTCTCTGATGAGAAATGTAGAAACCGAATTTACTCTTTATCACATTATGTTTTGAGATTGGAAAAATCAGCATTTTCTTCCTGTTAGGTAATGAAATCGACGAAACGTAAGCTTAATCTTGAATGATCTTTGTTCACCGTTATTCAGCTTAGCTCCCTCCCCCAGACAAACATGCATTTGTATTCACGAGGCTTGAGTTTTGCCCTTGTGAGAGCTCATCAATAGGATGTATTCACTGGTTCATCTGGGAATGGACATGATGAACACAAGCACGGAAATTTTCAGTGTTTCCATACACCCAAATCGCTCGACCCGAAGTACTCTACAATAATTGAATAAGCTTCTTCCAAATTTCCTCAGAGGAAGTTCAGACTCGGTGGATATAATAGCCGACTAACAGCTGTAAATCTTTGCTGTAGTACTTTTAGAGTGCATGGTCATCGAGATGAGCTGAGAGTTGTATGTAAAGACGAAATTTGAATTATAACCTGTGAAAGTCAATAACAGTTATCTTACACGACCACCACACACAAGTAACTGTGATGTAGCCTATCCAGAATCAAAATCTGAAGTCCTTTTGTGCACTCGAACTCACACCTTCAGTTTGCGCGAACCCACTCATAACTACAAATAGATTTGATTGCTCATGTTTTATTGCTGTATTCAGTAAGTATCTCTTGCCAATTTTAACGAGTACGTATCACACCTGTGAGCTGTTTCTATAGTTTCCTGGCCCTAAGCTACATCGTATGTCGTGGCTATATGCACAGTGTCATTGAGAATAAATTGCCATCATACTTAAAACGCAGGTGATTGGTGTTTTAGCAAATGACATTGAGAGTGAATAATATCTGCCACAATATAAATAAGATGGGACGAGATTTCTGACCCTAGGTAGCTTTATGCAAAATATAAGGCCACGTACAGAGAAAATCTTTCTTATTTCTGCCAACTCGAGATTTCAGAAGAGTAATTTAAGAAAAACCTAACAAATAACCGATGCATGCTTAAAGCTGTGTTCCAAAGCCTTCATTTTAGCATCATCTGCGCAACTAGGTGTTAGATCTCATCGCCTATTCTTACGAAGCGGTTACACAATCAAAAACGACTCCGTTTATTTACTCGTTCAATGGGACCGATATAAAACAAACAATATGCTCAGTTAAACGGAGCTTGTGCAACAACATTGTTATTCATGGTTTGCAGATTGTGAAGATCGGTTACGATGAGTTGTGATTAAGTTTATTGATTAGTCAAGTGAAAATTAACTCTACTTTCTTGTGACGACTCAAGCATACCTTTATCACGGGATGTTATCAAGTGTCACTCCATGTCCGGAATGCATTGGGGATACTGACTGCATTTGTAAAAGGTCTTGTCAGATAAAAACAACAACAGCGACAGCAACAACAGAGACATATGATTTCTGGAAGCTTTCAATTTTGGTATGGAAGCCGGCAGGAATTTGATCCGAAACGCTAATACATGTGTGGCCAGTGACATTTCATTGTACGATGCAGTAGTTTTCTTAACCATTAATCTCAGTATCTGAATCTAATAAACCAAAATTTAATGCGCCATTTAGTGGTGTCTTGTTACTCATAACGGGGCAGTTTTCGATTAGTCATGTCATCAAACTATTGGGTAGAGATAATTATCATTTTCAGAACAACCAATACTTGACAACCGGACTTGTAAAGTACTTGTAACTCAATATTCAATCCCCGAAAATACACCGAATTTGGATAATACACTTATTGAGAACGTGGTTTAGTTGCTTTATACAAAACTGCTTCTTAGTGATTCTCAATTCAATACTATAAATAACGTGTGTTAGGCGACGGGTGCAGAGCACCTCGTTAGCGAGACGAGGTAAAAACGCACTTCTAAAGGAAAACTGGACGGTTATTTCGGGTATGCGCAATCGGCTGCTTATTTATATTGATATTCCGAGTTGGCCAACAATAGAAGGTAACAAAAAATTGGACTCAAAAAATGTCAATGTACCTTCATGATACGCGAATACACCCTAGGAGGTGAGCAATCATTTTCAATCATTTTTCACCGGTTTTATTGATCATAAGAAAACGGACTCAGCTATGACAAATTCCAGTCGGCTGATCCATCAAATTTGGAAGAGAAAAAACAGAGGTTACGAGGGTGAGACCAGTAGTTTTATTCTATCTGGTTTGAAACCAGGTCACAGATCTGTTCAGATTCCACTAGAACAATAATGATCAGTGAGTTTTCTAAATAATAACTAGTTCGCCAGTGAAAAAGATTGATTCGCTTTGCACCTGTATTGTACAGCTGTTCATTGATTCATTCCCAAGGAAATATGCATCGAAACATTCGTGTACAGTTGCAGTCAAACTACCTCTTTCCGATGAATATATTACCATAACAACGTCTAATTCACACCTGCTTCTTCCTAAATGAACGAGTTCATTGATTGAAAGAAATCGAATACAGCTATAATGCTTTAGAGTGATTCAAGTTCATCGGCCTTCAGATTTTGACTGCATTATACGACTGATATTAATCACATTTTTTTCATGTAAACGATAAACTTTTTGTTACTGCATCACAACACCAAGCCACAGGGCATGTAAACCTTCAACCCATAATTACCTAAATAAAGAATTCTGTGCCTCACAAATAGGCCATCAGAATATCATCCCGAGCGATCGATCTTTTTATTAGCAAACGCCCAGCACAGATTAGTATACATATGAATAACATGGCATATTTAATGTCTGTAAATGTACGCAGCTATCACGCTTATTGAAAATAAAACTATGGTCTTTATCAGTTGTTAAGATCTAGAGGCTCGTAGAATTGACGCAATTCAGGGCACGGTACAGTGAATTGGGTCTTTCTGTTTCAATTTTTTCTCGATAAAGGAAACAGTATTTTAGAATAATGTCCGGGTTTGAGAGCCGATTGTTTCCAAGTGTGTCAACAGAACCGTACAAAATTATGCAGTTGAAAACAATAACTGGGCACCCATAAACACATGCTAAAAGGACAAATGCAAACATTTTTAAATGATCTACCGGATTCGTTTCTGTTTCAGGGGAAACGTCATTCAATTATGCCGTTCAAAGTGAGTTTTCAAATATTTATCTCATGTCATTCGAACACAATTTTGCTTCGGATCTGTTTGTGATTCCAGACAAGGCACACTGGTTAGATTAGGCTTTTGGGACTCATCACTGGTGCGCACCCCCTTGTGGCCTTGCCGACATTTGAACTGTGAGGCCCTTAGCTACATGAATGACTATCATAATCGAGATTTCATAACTTCATAAATTTTTGCCTGGACACTACTTACAAGTAACTGAGCTGAATGTTAAGTTTCACTTTTCTGTCCATTACACTACGCACTTAATACTTAGCACCTAGCGAATATATTCGCGAATGAAGTATCTTTTGTCATAGATTATGACAATGGTATTTTTAACAACTTACGCTAGAATCACCTACGTTTATTAATAACGGAATTCAAAGTCTAAATGAGAAAAATGATTACGAAACAGCTACTATATTTGCAAATTATCAATGCAGACACGTCTGACAAATACGTTGTACAATCAGTCAAAACCATCTTCCCAAGTGTACTGGTTGAACGGATTATGTTACGCTTTTGAATTCCTAGCAAAAATAATTCAATGAACGCGTTTGCCCAGGCAGAATTGTTAACTCGTCGGATGAATAGTTAATTTCGTTCACACTTGTATCTAATTAGGAATCCATTATCGCTTTCATCTACAGTTCATCCTCCATGAATAATCCTNAGTGGCCCATCACTTATCTTTTATAAGGCTAACTGACTGTGGTGTACATAAATTTTGCCGCGATTTACCGATTTGATTTCCTGATCCAAGGTTAAGTGAGGTAATTGAGTATGTGGATATCAGAACATCTGGATTACACAGAAATCGATTTTTGTAATAATTAAACGGATAGATTTCACGCAACCAGCTCGCTATTGGGTGTGACTCTGCATTCCAATACGCCCCAACCCCGCCAAGCAATAAAATTTACTACCGAGGTTAGTGTTTTTTTCTTGTTTTATGAAGCAAGAAAATACACATTTTTATTGTATTATTGAGTACCTTTAGTCATACTCCTTCGATATACTCGTGAACGTGTCCCCTAGATACGCAAAATCACCGCTATTCTCATAGATGACGAGTGCTCAGTGTCCACGGATGCCTAAGCGCGATTGTGTGTATGATCCTTACGAATATAGACCATGGAAGTCAGGAAGCTTTTCAAGTGTCACTTTTGACAATCTTGGTAACAACATCATAAGTTTATATCATACTTGTGTGCAAAGTGCACACATAATCAAAGTTCTTTTTTGCTGGACAACAAAACGGTGTTTAATTAAAGTTACTGTTCCCAATTCAACTTGCTTTAGGCTCCTCCAAGGGCAAGCAATCTTTCGGTGGAAAACCAAACCTCGGGTTACCTGACTCCTATAGATGATGTTGGGAAGCGTGGATCCGGGAGCATTGCTGAATCGGATAATGTGAGTTATTCATTAAATAATGAATCTGGTGTTTCTCCGACATTACTGCTTTTAATACTGAACTCTGTGTTCAGTATTTCTTGATTGTCCGAAGAGTCAGCTCAAAATGTGACTGACTGTAATCACATTAACTACAATTCACTGTTGCACTTTCTTTCGATTTTAAGGTAGGCCTCTGTAAATGTTATTTGCTTTATGGCTCATGAACCTTTTTCTAGAATATTTCATCTCTTTCAGTTTGAGTATATCCAAACTGGCTCAGCCTGAAAGTACAAGCAATTGTACAGTAAATTTCATAGAGTATGTGAAAAAAAGCTGACGAACTTTTTTGATTTGGTTTGTCGTCATCCTTAATGCAAATCCATTGACCCTAAGTCTCACAGACAGAACGCAAGCATGCTATCTCCTGATGGCAAGGCAATTGATCAGACCCTTGTTCACTTTTCCTATACACTGTACGACACCATCCATCTTCAATAGCTTATTACGGGCATCGCACCTTGGTCGAGCAAGGTGAGATGATTGTCTCACCACTAGACCGCCGGGTTATGAATAGATCATTCCGCAACTGACTGCGAGTTATATGAGGGTGGTGTATAGACAAAACGAGAAGCGATCTGATCAACTGACCGGGTGATCAAGTGAATGCTTGCATCCTACCTGTGACAAGTCACAAGTTAGTTCTTCAGACAGGTCCATCCATTCTCGCTGTTGATGTAAACGAACAGGATTGAAACATGACTACACAGCTTCCTGTCTACGTAATTTACGCCTCATTGGCTCCAAAACACGGAGCAACTCACAATATAATCAAATCCCCTCTTACTCCTACATAATTCATTTTTCTGAGTTGGACCATATGAACCGATAAGTATGCATTCTGTATGGAAAGGGAAATAGGAATAACGTTTCAGTCGAGAGAAACTCTTTTTTTATTTCGCCCTTACCAAAGTTTATCCTATTGCCATATCCAGTAATATTGGGTAAGCTTCGTCCGTGTATCGCCATGATAGAGAGAAGCCAGGTCATCTACTACCTTATGAATTTGATTTATATCACTCGGAAAATTCCAAGAATAAAATAATGGAACTAACTCAGTCCTTTGGAATTTGTTTTACACTAACTATTTGGTCTTATGGTACTTTTTACATTATACAATTTAGAAATGTTTTCCATGTAAATTGTTTTTTTACTTCACCATACTTCACAATTATTATTGACTATTCACCGTTCGTTTCAGCATCCAACACTTTTTGGCTCAATGATGCAAGCACTTCAGCGCTCGAGGAGGCAATCAACAGCTTCACGTGCGCTCACCCCGCACGACATTGAACACGGGTCTCCTGCAAGAAAAGTGAGTATCATCGAACCCGACAGCATTCCAAAGCTGGAAACGGTATCGGAGAAACCCGCAATGACAGCAAACAGTCGCATTCTTCCTGTACCTGATACAGCATCTAGAAGAGTACTGCCTACAGCTCTCAGACAAATGCCCAAGTCAGTTCCCGAAAGTGGAGCTGAGACCACCGAATCCATGGTAAGTTTGAACGTAAAAATGGAATTGGATTGGTGTGTTGCGATAACAATCACGCTACTCATGAGTAGGCCAATTGAAATGAGATATTTTCTGTTGAATGATCATAGGTGGCTGCATTTCACTTATGTCTGTTTCAGTTACGAAGTTGGGAACGCGAGAAATCCTCCAGTGAGGAGCTCCAAGATGAACCAACCGCTGTGACATCACCATCATCTCGAGATGTGAGACCGTGGAATTCCTCCAGAGAAGAAGAATTGACTCCGCGGTTAGTTACATTGAACGACAAGTTTCATTTACTTAAATACGTGGCTCTCGACCGTGTGTTATATTGACAGGCTTTTCTTAGAACAAGTTGTGTTGGTAATATTCTACATAAATACCAGCAAGCTGGAAATTATTTCTACATCACGGTTATATTGACTTATTTTTTATTGAAACTTTTGATCGGAACATTCACTCATTCGTTGTGGCTACGTAAAGCTAATATTGACTGGATAAAGAGATACAAAGATTTCGTTAGGCATTCTCTGTTCACACAAAAGCTAAATTAGTTGAAGACTTCACGGTGTTTGAAAAACCATAAAAATCTTGGATATTTCCAAATCTATTTCACTGACAGCTCCTTTATTTTGTACCGAAGTTTTGACGTAGTCAATTGAGTGAGTAGTTGTTCATTGAGGGTAAGTATAACTATTTTGTATCAGGATAGTTTCTGAAGATATATAATCCACTCTTGTTTATTTTTTAAAATACTGACCAAATATATTTCCACTTTTTATCAATGTTTTATAAAATTTTTCTTGCGGAGAAGGCAAATGTCCTGTAAATTCTTGTTTTTAATTTCCCATAGACAAAGCAGAAATTTTCCCATTCAATTGCAAAGAAACCAGATACCTGACAACGATGCTCACACCACCCGTTCACAAATCAAAACCATTGGGAACGGTCCAATCAGATCAAGGCCATCAGATGAAACACGAACAGTGTTGCAGCGATCCGAGGCTAGTCTGGATGACTTGGAGGACAGTGATGATGGATTATCATTTTACACTCGCGGGGATACACCAAGTCCAGCACCATCAATCGGAGCGGCAATCCTGCGCCCGGATGTCTATCCGGGCACAGAAGATAGAGGAATAAGACAACGCCGAAAACCGCTAGATACGTCGGATTATGTGGTACTCACCAGTGTACCGAGAGATTACGCACTAGCTCCGATTGGAGACAACAGAGAGGCCATTGATATAGACAAGTTGTGTGATTTACCTAAGGTTAGTTCCATCCTTTGTTCATTATATGTTTTAGACCAGTTCGCCGTTCATCGCGAGTGATAAGATCCGTTAGATTTGGTCATATTAGTGTTTCCTTATAGGTACACGAATTGCACTAGCATTCTTCGTTCCGGTAACCAAATGATTTTCATTTTCTTTATTATCTTCTATAGCCCGTATGGACAGCGAGTTTGCCAGATGTACCAGTATTGCCCAAACCAGCCAGACCAACGGGCAAGAGAAAATATCGTCGTCAACTTCCAGCAATTCCTCAGAGAGTTCGGTCAACTGATAGGTCCGCTTCTCCGACTGACCAAGCGAACCAAACGTTTGCCGACATACCCATCCATCATCCAACCACCTCACCTCTATTGTCTCGAGTGAGCAAGTCTTTCTGTTATCTTTTATGTTTATCATCTGAGCTGAGAACTAGACCGGAAACGCTGCGTGTCCCAAAGCATTTCCCTTGCATTTGTTTTATCGTGTGCTCTTTTTTCAGCTGAAAGGAATGTTTTCACTGTTGAGATCCACGGTAGCACACAGAATGAATTTCAAGTGGTCGCATGAATTACATGTTCCATTCTAGACGGTGCTTTTTATTCGGAAAGCAAACGGTGATCAGTCTGTGTAACTCGGATGTTCAGTTCTATCAAAGCGTTCGTTTTTATACTTCTCAACGATGGATTTTGTCACCGTGAATGATACCTGGACACGTCGTGGTCTAATTCACTTTCAAGGCGGAAATGCGAGTTAGTTACTGAACACTGTAACTGAGATTTTGTCTAAGGAAAACCTCACTTTAAGAGTGAGGAAATGCTTCTACTGCTGTTTGCTAAATAAATCCGCTTGGGGAAGTGAGATGAAACCAGCTAATACGGTGCACATAATGAAGCTTAGTGGTCATTCAAGCCTTCCCAAGTGAGAAATTCCCTCTCGATAAATAAATAAATTATTTGTATAAGTTCAGTAAACAGTTTGGGACAATTCTGGGTTCATCTTAATTGAGTTTGTTGCTCTGAATTAACCATGTACTGATTTGATCAAATTAGTCAACTGATGACGAGCGAAGCAATCTTAAGGTTATCACGACATGGTGAGAAGACTTAAGTTGTTGGTGAACATCAATACTGTCATGGTGGATGCGCGAAAATTAGAATTTAATTCGAAATTGATGATGCCTTCAGCCTCACCGAGTACATTTTCCCTGACAAGGATAGGAAACCATCCCAATATTGGGGATAGACCTAAACACATTTGAACTCACAAATAACCGGAAGCTCTTTGAACTTGTAGGCGGTTTTCTTCTTCTTGTGCAAAACCAATTTATCACTTTTTATGACCATCCATCAGTAAAACCTGGCGTGAATACGGTTTCAATATTCAACTTTTGCTTTGTCCATCCAACAATTACTGAAAATACTTTTAGTCGATCTGTAAAGTACTGTGAACTTTTATAGTACACACATAAATATCATCTACGTGAACCCATTTAGCACGTTATATGTCACCTGAAAACTATAAGGGTGTCGCCAGTACTGGATAAGAAACTTTTCAACCGCTGAATTTCGGAACTGACATCTCATATGACTTATACTATGGGTGAACAGTCTGATTCCATTTCCATCAAAATAAAATCGTCCGTCATTAAAACCAAAAATCACTTTGAATTAATTTGTGGTTTGAGGTATCGTATATCTGACTTGACGATCACAAAATGTTTATTCATGCGACAAACGAGCCCTGGATATTTCTGTATGGTAATGCGAAGGAACGGAGCGGATTTTGTTAAAAAGCTATTCGGTTTTGTGGAGTATCCATACAACAGCGAACTGTCAAACAATAACCAAAACACATTAGCAAATTTCCATAGTCTGTAACCTATGAGCGGAGCCCAACGCCGCCCGTCTTCCCTATATCTGTATTTTCCCCAGGTAGCCTTTTTATGTTCGTAGCCCTCTTCCTAAATGTTGACTGTACATTTTTATATTCAATAAATAGAAAAAGGAAGTAAAAGACATTTCTTGATGTTTTTTTTGTTTGTACTACTTACTCGATCACCGATCGCTAAACGTGAACTCTCCCTGTTTCACAGAACTGATGTGGCCCAGTTGTGTTTAGCACCGGGGATCAAAGGGTTAATCCTCCAAGTCGCTCGAGCAAACCAACTAGTCCAGTAGGCTTACAAGCCGATGCACTGCAGTTCACTGGATCTCTAATGACTCCTGCGTTGACCATTAGGGATTGATGCGTGGTTCCGGGAGTGTCCGAATAGACCCAAATGGCTTATACAAATCATGACACCCAGGTAGACCAAATAAACGCAGCTTCTTCTATCGCGCAACACATCACACGATCTGCTTCACCATTTACAGTATCTTTAAGTAATTTAGTTCCAAAGTGGACAGCGAATCCTGACTTAACATGAGTTACAATACACCATAAGCTGCAAAAAAGGACCTATAACGGTTACTTGACGTTGTAGTGACTCCAGATGAGCATTATACTTTCCACTCAACCAAACCTTCGTTGCTGATTATCCGACACAGATAGGAATCTTGCTATTTTGGCCCACAGCTGTATTTACATATAAATTGCAGTGTTTTAGGCAGAGTTCAAAGCACATGAAAAAGAGGCGCATATTTATCAAAAAATGTCTTCTTCCTCTGATTAATTTGATAACGGGTGTATAGCGTGGTAAATTACCTATGTTTACTCTGTTTCACCCACGTGTACTCTACAGTTGATCACCGATCACTCTCGCCATCCGTCACTGGGCAAAATCCGAGCTGGCTTATCTGGGTTCAGTCCCGATGTACCTGTACAAAATTCTTTTCCGATGCAAAAAGACATATACGAGCCACCGATGGTGGATCCGCATGGACCCGCACCCAGTGCTCCTCCAAACTGGAACGTAAACCAGTTAACCCCTCGCACTGCGATTCGAAGAAGTACGAATATGGGCCATGGCGTGCATTCAGACGGAACAAGGCTGACGCAGTATGTTAACTATCTTACTGAACCGCCTAACACCACCCAACGAGACTGGCTGGACCAGGTGAGTAAAGGATAAAAACCAATGGCCGTTATGATTCGGAAAAGGTCTGCTATTCTAGTCATTGTAATTGTTCGTCAACAATGTAAATAGGCAGTACCTTCCTGGTTCATGCTACCTCAAAGAGATCAAATTGCACACTTGTGTTCAATATGAGATCATTCATGAGCGGTCTTGACAGAATACTCCTCTAACATGTTTGATGGGAATCAATAGCTGATTTAAAACAAGGTGATCTTTCGAGGCTTCTCGAATCTGCTTCCACAAATGGCTAACTAACTTATTCAGTCATACTCGATTGCAATCAGTCCGTAGTTTGGGGTGTACCTCTGTTATAACCTTATGCCTAATGCTCCCGTTTTATCAACAAGTGCGAAAACCACATGAAACTATTGGAATCCACTCGTTCGTACTTATGTTTAAATTGTGAAAAGTTCAGTGGCCTCGGTGGGATTCTAATCCACGCATGTACACCAGCGACGATGTGGTTGAGGGTGTTATATACAAAGGTGTAGGCCGCACCCATCTAATTTACCAATCTGTCGAACCACTCTTCTCCTCAACTTTCAGTGATTAAGTATGGGAAATTTTAGTCTGATTACCTTTGTCATACAACGACAAAAAAAGAATTGAAATTGTTTTATCTCTTTTTATAAAACACAATCGATGTCCAATTTTTCTTTGCAGTTTACGGATGGAGTTACCTTAGATGAAATCAACAATGCCCCGGGACCGAATCCAACCAATTCCTGGACCGTAAACAACACTTCTGGCGAGTGGATGCGCTTGCAGCCATGTAGCATTCCACTGCACTCTAGTGAATCCCCACCACCACCTGCACCGGCTCCAGCAGTTCCCATGATGAATGACTTGCTTCATCGACGGACTATACCTGAACCCTATCATACGGGTCCAAGATCACGAGAAGTTTTGTCCAATCACTTTCTATATCCCGATATTAGGCCACAACCCCCTCTTTCTGCGCGGAATGATCCAGTTGAGTTTGTCCGACTCGAACTGGGGAACAATACAGTTGCAACAGCACCCATGATCGATCTGGGTTCAGGACCGAATCCGAGCCGATTCGATTCACGAAATCGTTTGACAAGTCATATCAATCAGCCACGGTGAGCCCCGTTATGTTGGAAGTCATGGATATATTCGCTACGTGCAAGAGAGAGAAAATGTCCCCATTACTACCACACAAGTTTGCAAACAAGCTTTTTCTCGACGCTCCGTCAGCCGGCTGAATACATGTTGTATGATAGAACAAAATCGGAGTGAGAACTAGCACAACTGATCGCTTTAGCAGTGAGATAAGATGACCGTGATAATAGGTCTGTTTGTTGTGTTAGGTGGATGAGCTAGTTTAAGATAGACGGGTACCTCATCAGATCGTAACTGAATGGTCAAAATATGTCTGATATTCTGGCAAGCTGTTTCTGCCCCCATTTACAGACGATATGGAGACAAAATTAGTTCCACGGTATCAATTGTCCGCCCCAAGGGACGCGTAAAATACTACATAACCAAATGCTTTGTATCAAAACGGTTTATCAGTATACAGTACTAGGACACCAAAATATGACTAAATAATACCAACCACGAAGAGCGAACTTCAAATTGCAGGACAATCCGGTTGAAACAATACATCGAAAAACCGCGAAACCAAGTTAATACAATGGTAATCAACAAAACGCATTCTTTATCCCAAGGTTGGCTGTCCGAT